ATTTTTTTGTATCCTCTATCTCATGACGGGAGAGAAAAATAAATAAATATAATGAGGTACATGGGAATCATACATTTTAAAAAAAGCAAGGGATATATTTATTTGCCTATTTTAATTCCCTGCTTATATGCGGGCACGTATCAGCGTCAAGCTAAAACCAATCAATCAACTATGTTCTCTGTACATACATGATGACAGTCGCCGGCTCGGCGATTCGGCCAAGCTATTAGATTAAAATCCACGCCAAAGCAAGGTAAGCAGGGGTCGCTTGGAGCAATTAGCGGAGAAGGTGCGTAATTTGCGAATAATACAAGCCATCGCAGCTTGTCGTAGTAAAGGTGCGGATCCACACCTTCATTGACGTGAATTAGGTCCTATCTAATCCGTACGTTCATAGCAGCCTCACTAGCACCATCTCGGAGCTCCGAACCCGTTGTCGAGCTCATAAATAGCTACATACCACTACGGCGCTGAACAGCTCGAAAAACTCGCAATGGCTCAATTCGTCTTTTAAAAACCAACGAAAAAAAAAAAAAAAGAAAAAAAAAAAGGTCTAATCAAGCAAGCAAAAGCGCACCAGCAGCTTTTACACGCCACCAGCTTCGCCCGCCCGCCATGGACAACGAGTCGCAGCCCCGGCGGCCGCCGCCCTTTTACTCTCGTGTACTGGCCGAGGTTGGCTTGGTCACGCTCTTTCGCTCCCCGCGGGACATTAAGCTCCTCTGCCTGCAGCGCTTCGTCCGGCTCTTCGCCTACGGCGTCACCACCCTCATCCTCGTCGCGTACCTGCAGCTGCTGGGCCACTCGCGCACGCGCATCGGCCTCTTCATGACGCTGACGCTGGCCGGCGACGTCATCATCAGCTTCCTCCTCACGCTCTTTGCCGACCGCCTCGGCCGCCGGTCCATCCTGTCGCTCGGCGCGGCGCTCATGGCCGCCAGCGGCGTCGTCTTTGCGCTCTGCGCCAACTACTGGGTGCTGCTGCTCGCCGCGGTGCTCGGCGTCGTCAGCCCCGCCGGCAACGAGATTGGGCCCTTTCGCGCCGTCGAGGAGAGCATCGTCGCGCACCTGACGCCGGCCGAGCACAGGGCCGAGGTGTACGCCTGGTACACGCTGTTTGCGCCCGCGGGCTCGGCGTTTGGCATGATGGCGGGAGGGTGGGCGGTGGAGGCGGCCCGGCAAAGGCTGCACTGGTCGCTGCTGGCCGCGTATCGTGGAGCGTTTGTCGCCTACGCCGTCTTGGGCCTGCTCAAGCTCCTGCTCACCGTCATGCTGTCCCGCAAGGTAGAGCTCGATCCGACCCCGCTGGCGCCGGCGGCAGACACGGTCGATGAGCGTGCTCCGCTGCTCATCAATGGCGGTGCGTCGGAAGCTGAGCCGCCCTCCCAAAAAAAGAAGAGTCGGCTGGCCTCGATGCTTCCTCACATCAGTCCCGAGAGCAAAAAGGTCACGGCTATACTCTGCATGCTGTTTGCTCTCGATTCTTTGGGTTCCGGACTGGCCTCTCTGTGAGTTGGGGACAAAATAGCCCTCTTACCCTGACTTAAACCTAACACGCTTCCTTTTTCTAGCTCCTGGGTCACTTTCTACTTTCGAAGCCAGTTTGGTATCGAAGAAGGTAAACTGGGATCCCTCTTCTTCACGACCAGCATCATTTCGGCCATTACAGTGTTGGTGGCGTCTTCCATTGCCAAACGCCTCGGCAACGTCAAGGTTCGTTAGTTGACTCAACCGAGGCCAGACTCAGCCTTTGCTAATGGTACTAGACCATGGTCTTTACCCATCTCCCGTCGGCCGTTTTCCTAGCCTTGATTCCGATCCCATCTGACCCCAAATTCGCCATCATGTTCTTGGTTTTGCGCGCGTCTCTGCAAAGCATGGACAGTGCCCCCAGGACTGCATTCATGGCTACCATTTTGCAGCCCGGGGAGCGCACTTCTGTCATGGGCGCCGTAAATGTCGTCAAGACGACTGCGCAGAGCCTGGGCCCTCTCATCACTGGTGTGCTTGCCAGTCACAAGTACTTTTGGCTGACCTTTGTACTTGCCGGCTCATTAAAGGGAACATACGATTTGCTATTGCTAGCGGTTTTCAAGAATTACGGTAGACATAGAACTGGCTGAGACGTTTTATTGCCTCGACCACGATGATGAGCAATAAGATCAGCAGGCTGGTGTCATGCCTACTTATCACAAGAGAACACATACAATGCATCAGGTATTCTCGGATATGATACCGAGCCATGCCGGAATACACTAGTTTTATTTAGGACCCCGAAGTGACTGCTCCGTGACTAGGCCCAAGGCGCTGTCAGATGCTCAGGATCGCCGCATTCTGATGAGCAGCACATCTGCCGACGGAATTCGTTTCCCGAAATTTATGAAATATCCCTTGTCTCAAGAAGAGTTCCAGATGTTTTTCATGACCGACCAAATTCGTAGTGAGCCGACTCCCTCGTAAGGGTTTGAAGATGGTGTGAAACAAATGGCCCCCCACTGGTGGTTTCAGTGCCAAGCCATTGTTGCCCACTCCGATCGCCCGCCCATTCATCGCCAAGAAGTTTGACGTGGATTGCGAAGCGGGGTAGCCCCGTTGGTGTGTCTACAACGCGACGGATGTTGATGTGAAATCTTGATGATACACTTGGGCCAAATGCTAAAATTAGTGAAGCAGAAGTAGGCAGTCATGGCAAGCCTAGCGAAGAATGTCAAGCCCAAAATGGCGGGATAAGCTAGAAATGGTAGGAGAAAAGCTTGAAACAAAACCATGGGAACGACGTGAATTAACAATGTATTGTATAAGTCAGCATACAATGGCGCTGCACTTCTCATATGCTTGCCGAGCTGGGTGTAACGATACGCTTCGCGTAAGCAGTCCTCCAACTACAAGCATACATGGCTACTAAGCACATCTACATGTTACAACGGATACCAGGACTTAAATCCACAATCCGCTCGCAAAAGAGAACAAGCTGGTGTGAGTAGACGTCGCATCACTAGCTGTTAGTCGCAGGTCATCCACCAGGTTGCCCACTAAAATAATAAACTGTAAATTGCCCTGACCAGCGCTGCTGGACTGGCACCACATGCAATATAAGCCTTACACAAGGGGGGAACAGCGTGCTTGGCAATCCTCCGTCGGCCGAGTGTGGAAATAAAAGGAACCCTTGACGTGGCTGTATGGAAATTGACCATTTTACTCCAATCTTGTGATTAAATCCTCCTGTAATCTATTTCGAAATAAATATTCACTCGACAGTTAATCTGCCAGCCTCCGCCAATCGCTTGGCGGCTCGTCGCCGCTGCGTGAGATTTATGAAACAACATCGGTTTCGCCATGTGATGGGCAATCGCTTTCCGGACTGGCTGTGGTGTTACTTTTGCCAAGGAAATGAAACGCAGAATCATCTAGATGATCGAAAGACATGATTTTCTCCTATTCTGCTGCAGCTGCAGCAGTCGTCTGGACTCTTTTCAACTTGGCTTGCCCTAGCAAAAAGTCCTTGCGTCTGCAAGTTAATTAAGAATTGTAGCCACACTGGCCGAACTAGTGCACGGCCTTGGCCGAAGTGAAGAGGCGATATAACGGCATTGAAAAAAAAGAAAAAGAAATTGAGAAGATTAATTGCTTCGAAAGTGGCTGTTCTTGCACACAGGCGGAGACTCATCAACTGTTTCGCCCAGATTACTTGTTCCTTGCTACACCCGGCTCTAGCGGCACGAGGAAACAAAGAGCAGCGCCTCCATCCATTCCCCCCAAGAGTATCAATCTGCATAGTGGATAGCGCGAAACAGTAAGCGCAACAAACTAGCCAATAAGCGGTCCTTTTTCTTTGCTGCCGCCGTTACAACTCTTGTGTGAGCGAACGCCGAGCGAACGCCGCCCCCCCCCCCCTCCCTGGGAGCCGTTCCGTTTTGCTTCTGCGGAGCATCTTGCATTAGATATTCGGGCCCCGGGGGTGAGCTGCCGACATTTCCGTGTAGTAATTGAGGCTGCGTTATGCAACTCCCCTGCTGAATCTGGGGGGGGGCGATTCGCTGCGACGGGTTTTGTTTACGAACAGACCGACATAGCCGAAGTATATGGGCGAGGACTCGAGCAAAGTGTATATACAGGTTCATGGGACATCAATTTCTCTAGTGGTCGATTGTGTTTCTGGTTCATTCGCTTTCTTTACACAGAGCGGGACTCTTAATTCCTGTACTTTTTTTTGGTTTCCCTTTCTCTCTGTTGGGTTCTTCATATTCTATACCATCTCGTCTTACATCTGATATCTTTCTTCACCTTTTTACTATTTCCATTCCTTGGCTTCATTTCGTGATCACCAGGTGTGACCCTCTCTTCCTTTCATTTAGCAGTTTTTACGGTCTTGGACATCGCCAGGCGCCATGTATACCAAGGCCCTCTCCACAGTGTTGCTCCTTTTGGAGCTCACAAGCTTGGCTACGGCCGCTCCCTATGTTGAAAAGAGAACCTACAAGGTCGAGCGTGTTCGCAATGAAGCTTACACTGGCCGAAATGGGCCCCGAGCGCTGGCAAAGGCCTATCGAAAGTACGGCATGCCTTTGCCTACCGGTCTTGTCGATGCTTTGGAGGCACAGAACAACGAAGCGCCTGCTTTCCAGCCCACAAAGCGTCGTACCAGCAAATGGCATAGCCCGTTGGAGGACGCCGACCAGGATGATGCCGCCCAGGATGCCGCCCAGGATGTCAGCACCAAGGACGTTGGTACTGAGGATGTTGGAGCCGAGGACGTTGGATCTGAGCAAGTCGGAGCAGAGTCTGTTCTAGGCGATATCCTTGGGGGCTTGCTTGGAAACGGTGCCAATAACGGTGCCGGAAATGGTGCCAATGAGAATGGTAACAACGGTGCGGACAAGGGGGCTGGCAACGGTGCCAAGACCGGTGCCAATAACGGTGCTAATAACGGTGCTGGCAAGGAGGGTGGCAACCGCGCTGGCAACAACAACCCAAACACCAACCCAAACACCAATCCCAATACCAATCCAAACACCAACCCAAACACCAACCCCAATATCGACCCCAATACCAACCCCAATACCAACCCCAATACCAACCCCAATACCAACCCCAATACCAACCCCAATACCAACCCCAATACCAACCCAAACACCAACCCAAACACCAACCCAAACACCAATCCAAACACCAACCTCGGCAACGGCAACGGCAACGGCAACGGCAGCAACAATGTCGATCCAAACGCCGATGTGATTGCGTCTCTTGCCAAGGCCCGTGAAGGCAACTTCACCGGCAAGGTAAAGACCGTACCGGAAAAGAATGACGTCGAGTACCTATCACAAGTCAAGATTGGCGGACAGCCCGTCACGCTGGATTTCGACACGGGCTCTTCCGATCTCTGGGTCTTCAACACGCAGCTGCCCACCCAGCAGACGCAGGGTCGCCAAGTCTACGATCCAACCAAGAGCAAGACGTTCAAGATGATGCAGGGTGCCCAGTTCCAGATCCGGTATGGCGACGGATCAGGCGCCGAGGGCAACGTGGGCACCGACGTGGTGGACATTGGCGGCGCCGTCGCGCCGGCGCAGGCGATTGAGCTGGCGACGACCGTGACGGACACGTTTGTGCAGGACGCCAACAACGGCGGGCTGATGGGCCTCGCGTTTGGCTCCATCAACGCGGTGCAGCCGCAGAAGCAAAAGACGTTTTTCGAAAACGTCATGCCCAAGCTGCAGGAGCCCGTCTTCACGGCGGACCTGCGCGCCAACGCGCCCGGCGCGTACGAGTTTGGCCGCGTCGACGCGAGCAAGTTTACGGGACAGATGACCTGGATCCCCGTCGACACGAGCAAGGGCTTCTGGCAGTTTAGCAGCGAGTCGTTTGCCGTCAACGGCGGGCAGCCGCAGCCGGCGGCGCGCGGCGGCCAGGCGATTGCCGATACGGGCACGACGCTGCTCCTCGCGGACCCGGCCATTGTCGAGGGCTACTATGCGCAGGTGCCGCAGGCGCAAAACAGCCAGCAGCAGGGCGGCTTCGTGGTGCCTTGCAATGCCAAGCTGCCGGACCTGGACCTGGACATTGGCGGCGTCTACATGGCACGCGTCAAGGGCGAGGATATCAACTTCGCGCCCGTTGGCAATGGTGGTGAGTAATCTTTCTTCGTTGTGTTCAGAATTCAGGGGACGGGACAGACTTTGCTAATCAATGACCTTTACAGCTTGCTTCGGCGGATTGCAGGCCGGTCCCCCCGGTGGCATGGGCATCTATGGCGACATCTTGTTCAAGTCGCAGTTTGTCGCGTTCAACGGCGGCAACAAGAGCTTGGGCATGGCCAATCATGCCTAAACAAATTTTAGAACCTGAGGCTTCGGGCACGCCGCCCGCATCACTGGGTCCGCGATGGCGCCGCCGTTTTTTCGCGATGCACATGGAAAAGATGTATCGCCGGCTAAAGGGCCGAGAAGAGTGAACAAATTGCTGCCTAAACCGCCGAGTGCTGTTTGTGTCGGCTGTCTTGATGTCTCGCATCTCAATGTATATTTCCGATTGTCATGGCCAGTTACAGAGCCATTTTTAAGAGAACCTGGTGTTTTTTATTCAGAATTAGCATGCAACAATTTCAGCTCTGCAGCATTATAAAGTGCCAAGTTCCTGGACAAATCTTGATCGTCATGTTTCAAACTGTAATGAGGCTGAGTGGTAGCCTGGGGTGGCTTGACGGCACGGCGCCTTGTGATCAATACTAACAGGGCGTCATATTCAAATTAGTACATGAAGCCTCTACGCAATCCTTCCAGAAGCGGGACAGCTTCAACGCCACATTTCAAGCTCAGCAGTCACCAAAGACGACAACGGGTACCCGCGGGGTAGTCTGGTGTGCTCGCTCTCGAATGGGTTACTTGCTCAGCCTTGTCATGACAGCATGAGCGGGCAAGCGGTCTTTTGCCAATAAAAACCCGCTGCATTCACCCTTCCCAGGACATTTCGCAAAAAAACCCTGCATTGCATGATACTACAAACTATTTGCGACTTCGCGCGCATCACCAACACCTACCAAACAACCCACCTTACTACACGTGCACCAAACCCCCAATTAAACCAAAAATGGGTCTCTTCAAGTCGAGCAGCGACAAGCCGGCGGCCGAGCAGCAAAAGGGGAGCGACAAGAAGTCGCTCTACCAGCGCTACCAGGACTCGAAGCGCGGCGAGCCCATTAGCGACGCCGACCTGCTCAAGTACGCGGGCAAGACGCGCGACGAGTTTGATTCCTGGAAGGACACGCAGCCCGGCGTCGGCCGCAACCAGCTAGCCGGTACGCTGGCCATGGGCAACGCGGCCGGCCTCGCGGGCGTGGCCACGGCCGGCGGTTACGGCGGCTGGGGACCGGGCGCCGCGCCCAACGGTCCCAATCGCGGCATGAAGTTTCCGCCGGCGCAGCAGCAGCAGCAGCAGCAGCAGCAGCAGCAGCAGCAGAAGCAGCAGAAGCAGCAGTCAGACAAGGAGAAGGCGCTAGAGGAGAGCGACTAAGTTGAGGGGGAAAATCGATGGCTGAGATTTTACCTTTTAACTTGATGTTTGAGATTTGAAAGGAATGTCATCATGTTCAAAGTAGTGTAATAGCTGAATTCATCTGCATGCCCCTGCGTCAGCGGCAGCAAAGATGCATTAGTCCAGAAACGTGTACGTATAAAAGACAGCGCCACTTGCGACGTAATTAAAATGTGTGTAGTATTTCCCTTTGATGGATTCTCCGACTCGTAATTTTTTTTTTTTCAGTCGTAGACATGCCCATTTCCATACTCTCTCCATTGCCTCTCTTACTAGGCCCACCAAATTTCGCTCAACAAACGAAAACGCCAAATGCAATGTACAAAACCGCCCGAAAACCCTTCTTCACTGCTTGCCATTAAATGCCTTGTATAGGCCAGCAATAACAACCATGGCACCCCAGGCGCCTGGATCGGGAGGCATTTCCTGGTTCGCACCGCTGCCGCCGCCGCCGCCGCCGACATAGGTCGCGCGACCGAGGCGGGGCGTCATGGTCTTGGTCGCCTCAGCGCCCTTGACGGCCGCGTCGACGGCCGCGTCAAAGCCCGCCTTGCCCATGGCGTCGGCAAACGGCATGAGGGTGTCTATGACGGTGCGGTCGCCGACCTGGGCTGGCGTGTAGCGGCGCAGGTTCTCAAGCGCGGTGGCCAGGGCCACGCCCCAGAGCGCGACGGCGCCACCGCCGTCGGCAGACTGGGCCAGCGCAATGTTCTTCTCGACGGCGGCGCGCAGTGAGACAAAGAAGATGCCGAGGATGCCGCCGAGGGTGCCGCCCATCTTGCTCTCGACAATGTCCTCGAGCTCCAGCAGCACGGAGACGACGGAGCCCTTTTTGGCGAGGCCGGCGTCGAGCGCGGCGAGCAGCGCCGTGGCGCCCGTCTTGAGCGTCTCGCCACAGTCGCCGTCGCCCATGACCGTGTCCCACTTGGTCAGGTCGGGCTCCGCCTTGACCAGGTCGTCGCATGCGGTTCGCAGCATCGTCTCGAGCAGGGCCGGATCCGTCTTGAGGTCGCGGGCGTCATCGGCCGTCTTGTGCTCGGGTTCGGGCGCCGACACGAGCTGGTCCTTGCGGGCGCGGCGCTTGGATTGGGCACCGGCGACCGACTCCCAGTAGGTGTTTGTGCGGGCGTCGAAGAAGGCTTTGATCTGGTCGGCCGAATAGCTGCAGTTACGGGCGGCGGCAGTGATGTTGATGACGGAGACGGAAAAGGCGGGCGCGTTGAGCGACGTCTCGAGGAAGCCGGCGCAGACGCGGGTCGGGTCCATGCGCCAGTCGCGCTCGAGCTGCTCGAGGAGCTCGTCGACCAGGGCGCCCATCTCGAGGTGCGACATGCCGCCAAAGTTGCTGACGAGCAGCATGGTCTCGTCGCCGGGGCTAAAGTGGACGTAGCCGCGCTCCGGGTCTTTTTCGTCGAGGCAGTGGGTGAGGATCTGCTTGACGAGGTCCTGCGGCGTGGGCGCGGGGGAGAGCTTCTTGTAGCCGGGCTCGTTGTGGGGGCCGGTGCCGAGCTCGACCTCGTCGTCCTTGAGCGTGGCGTGCTCGGCGCGGCCCGGAACGTGACAGTGGTCCAGCGTGGCGGCGATGGAGACGATTTGCTGGGAAAAGGCAACGCCGAGGTCGTACACCTCGTCGAGTGAGGCGCCGGCGCCGGCGGCGCCACCCATGACCTTGAGGACGCCAATCTGGCCGGCAAGACCGCGGCGGCCGACTAGGCTGCCCTTGCGGCCGACGGAGACGTCGTCGCCGCAGATGATGGTGCGGCAGCGGTGGCCCTTTGCAGTGGCCTTTTCGTTGGCGAGGCCAAAGTGCAGGCAGTCGCCGGTGTAGTTTGTGATGACGAGGATGGTGCCCTTGTCGCTGGGGACAGCGTCTACGCCCGCGACAATCTGCTTGGTGCTAGGGCTGGCAAAGATGTCGCCCTGGACGGCGGCCGTGAGCATGTTCTGGCCGACGTAGCCGCTCCAGCCGGGCTCGTGGCCGGAGCCGCCGCCGGAGATGAGGACCACCTTGGACTTGTCATAGTCCGAGTCAAAGACGACACGATTGGCCTCGTCGAGGCTGAGGCTGGGGTTGTAGCGGATGATGCCTCTCAGGGCCTTGTTGACGAGGCCGTCGGACGAGTCAAAGAGGTGACGCTTGGACATGGTTGAATGCGATTCTCGTGCGTCTGCGGGCGAGGATCGTGTGATGAGTAGAAAAAAAGATGGAGATGATGCAGTAAAAGACTGCAAAACAGGTGAGGATGAAAGAGCACAGAGGACTTGCGAGAGCTGGTCAGCGATTTATCGTGAGCTGGGGGCGTGTGGCACGAAGAACCCCTCGTTTAACTGGGGATGTCGAGGTGGCACCAATGACTTCGGTCATGGTGCCGCAGTCGGAGAGGGCAATTGAGTGCAAAGAAGAATGATGGGCAACATAAATCTGGAGCTTCCCGTCTTCGGACAGGAAAAAAAGACAATGATGTGTGTCAGAATGCGTCCGTTTCTCGTTTGCAGCGTCATGGGAGGATGGTTTCTCAGTCGGGATTCCGCATTGGGCAAGCCGGCGGGCAGTTCACCCACTTGCAAGGGTCTTGGCCCGCGAAAGAGACGGAGCTTGCCCCAGCTTTTCGGGGAAAACCACCCCCTGCTACACTGGGGTTCTGGAACTCGGATGGTCATTTACTAGTGCGACGGTCCCCGGATGATGGCAGCGTGATCGAATTGATTTTTTTTTTCGGTGGTCTTTTGGTGGGGGTTTGACGAAATGATGAGGGGTGTGGCGAGGTGTCATGGCCGAGCTTCGGAAGTGCAAACGACGACTTGCTCTCCCGCCTTTCCATCTGTGCAACTCATTTATTTCCCTCTCCAACTCAACTCGTATTCTACTTGCTTTTACAAAATTACCAAGCAAAAAAAAGCCCCATCACACTCTATATCATGGCCCCTACCTGGAGAATAGCCATGGGCTGCGATGTAAGTGCCTTGTCCTTGCCGCTAGCCAACGCCCACCCACACTGACACTTTGTTTTTCCAGGAAGCCGGCGTTAGCTACAAAAACGCCATCAAGCGTGACTTTGAATCAGACAGCCGCGTGAGCGAGGTGATTGACGTGGGCTCGGGCGAGACGAGCGACAAGACGGCGTACCCGACACGCGCCGCCGCCGCCGCCCGCCTGGTGGCTGAGGGCAAGGCGGACCGGGCGCTGCTCGTGTGCGGCACGGGGCTGGGCGTGGCCATTGCGGCCAACAAGATCAAGGGCGTCCGCGCCGTGACGGCTCACGACAGCTTCAGCGTGGAGCGCAGCGTGCTCAGTAACAATGCGCAGGTGCTGTGCATGGGCGAGCGCGTTGTCGGCCTGGAGCTGGCGCGACGCCTGGCAAAGGAGTGGCTTGGCTACGAGTTTGACGAGAACAGCGCCAGCGCCAAGAAGGTGGACGAGATTGATCAGCTGGAGGCGTAGGAACTGCGACTGATGATGGAGAGATGCGATTGGAAAGAATAGCGCGTTGCCATAGAAGGTTCAAACAGCCCGCCCGTAATAGACAATTGGTTCCTAAGTACAACTGTTTGCTTCTTCTCGTCAGATAACCCAAGCTTGTGATGCCCTAGCCAACGACTGGGACACGGGTTACAGACAAACTGTTGCCCTAGTATCGTCTTTGCCTCTACCACTCGACGGACGAGAGAAAAAGAGGTCTTTCGGAATTAAAAGGCCGTCGACATGCGCGTGGCAATGCATCCATCACCACTTTGAAGCCCGGCATGCCCAAAGCGGCAACACATTGGCGTGGCTTGGGAGGCGCTGCACTTTGGCGCATGCAGCCCGCCGACCCGCTGTAAACCCATGACTGACAGTTCGGTTTTCGGGAAGAAGACAAGACTTTCTCACTAAGCAGTACTTGGGCAAGGGGAAAACGAATTTGCGTGATGAAAGACTGTTGAAGCTGAGAATCTTGTGTATTTTCTGAATTGGATTCGTAGCTTTCTAAAATTTCCGTCACTGGAATCGTCGTCTTTCCTTCACCCTCGCCCATCAGCCTGCCCAAGCACTCGTGGACGTGGGTGGATTGATTCCTCACCCTGAGTATAAATGCCCTGCTGAATGTGCTATAGTCAGCCATTTATAGTGGCAGTAGCTGCCACTGATAGTGGAGATTAAGGGTGCTTAAGGCAGGCTCTCTATAACGTCGGGCACCCACTTCTCGGCAGGTTAACCAAATCACAACCTACCACGCAGACTACTTATAGAAAATCCAAAATAATTTAAATCACAAGAAAATACTACTTATTAGTAGGTAGACTAATAATTAAGTAGCGCCTCCGTGGTATAGTAGTTCTAGATTAGGGAGTTCTATATAGGTTAGTATATAGATTATAGGTTTAAATCCCGCTAGAGGTACCTCTTTTTAATTCCCTACTAGCCTACCTAGCCTCTTTAAAGTCTAGTATACTAGAAGTAATACTATTAAGGATTTATATAATATAATATACCTAGATATAGGTAAAATATAAGAAGAGATAATTATAAAACTAAGCTAAAATAAAAATATACTATTAAATATATATTAATTATTATATTATAATAGCTCTTATAATAATAGTATAAAATTATATATAACTATTATAAGTAAAAATAATTAAAAACTTAAGGGGGACTTAAATTAAATATAATAAAAAAGTAAAATAAATATATTTAGTAATATTAATATCTTTATAGAAGTAAAAGTAATATAATATATATATATATATATATTAAAGGTATAACTTAAGAAACTAGTATTAGAAAATTATTATAGGTAAAAGCTAAGTGCACCGGTTGTTCCCACCGAGTCTGGCGGTAAACGTCGCTGCCTTTAGTGGGAGCAACCGAGCCCAGCGCTTTAGCACTACGGACGCCAGCGGTACAGGACTACGTGCACCCCCACGCTGGAGCCAGCTGCTTCTCATGTCCATAAATGCGAATTGAGCTCTCGCAACAAATTCTCAAATCTCTCAATTAAGAGGACTTGGGAGCCTTGACAAGCTTCAGAACGATGCCGTCGGGGTGGTTGCCGCTCTTCTTGTACTCGTCCGTGTTGTACAGAGGGTTGCTCAGGTTGGGCACGACGCCAATCTGGCCGCCGTTCTTGCCGCAGCTGCCGACGTTGGTGTTGGCCTTATCGATGGCGTTGGCAATGTCCTCATAGAGAACCGACGTGGGGTAGCGGGGGTTGTTGTGCTTGGCCAGGGCCAGGACGGTGCCGGCGCCGTCGACAGGCAGGCCCCATTCGGGGCAGTCGAAGCCCTTGGGCATAGTCCAGAACTTGCCGGCGCCGGAAGCCTGCTCGCCGATGTAGCGGAGGTACTCGGCGACGTACTTGATGTCCTCGGGCTTGAGGTCTTGCGAGTCGCCGCCGTCGACGCCGTAGCAGATCTTCTGGGTGCCCTCGCCGCAGCTGCGGGCGGCAAGGAGGGGGTTGGCAACGGCAAGACCGGCGGCAGTAATGGTAAGAGCAATCTCGGCAATCATTTTGCTTAGTCAATGTTTGTGATCTGCCAAGTAGATGATGCTTTGGTAGAAGGGAAGAAGAGGCTGGGCTGGTGTGAGAGTCAGACGAGCTGGTGCTTCGAAAGTTCGAATTCAGACTGTCTAGGACAATTGGATCTCTTTATACGCAAAGATATGCTCCATTGTTTGGCCAAACTCCCTCTGCATTGATCGTGTTGCAAGGGTAGCTGGTTCAGCCTAGGCGCTGGTGTGTAGTGACTTCCTCAGTGACCGCCTCAGCTGCAGCCGCAGATGAAAGCAGAGCATTTCCCAACCAGGAGAAAGGCTGTATTTGAGCGCTACAGTGCGTCATGGTATCGATTTTGAATCGAGGCGATCGCCGACGCAGCCTGACCGTTCAACTCAGCGCACGATCGAACCGTATTGGAACTGTTCTCGCTTGCACCAGGTGCTTCTCGGGCAAGTAAGAATGGCCGAGAAATGGATTAGAAAACCATTTTCCTTATGTAAAATGTCGAAGTGGTACAAAAAGTTGTTGCTGGGGAGGGCTGAAATTTAGAACTCAAAGGTTGAATTCTTGCACTTAAGCCAGGTTTGGACCAATCAGAGGCCCCCCTTCCCTCAACACCACTATGTTTTTGACAAGTCAACCAAAACACACCAAGTTATAGGCCTTATAGCGCTCTAGATAGAGCCTTTTTACTTATTTTAAATTGCTATTTAGAAAGCCTATTACTTATAGAATATGCCTAGCATTAGAACTTTTTACAGCAGGGCTTCTAGCGGGCGCGGGCGCTGCCTTTTTTCGTAGGTAATTACTGACTTGGTGTTGAAGTTGGAAGGGAAGGCCTGGCTTCTGATTAGTTGAAAGGGGGGACTTGGGTGCAAAAATTCAAAATTCGAGTGCCAAATTTCAGGCCTCCCCGGCGTTAGTCTCTCATAGCCGAGCCTGGTTCGACGTCTCAAACCCATCGCCGCTCTCTCGCTAACCTCTTTCGTTGCTTATTTTTGTAACAGCCAAAACACAGCCCAAAACCAACCAGGGCCACAATCAGAATTGGGAGCCAAACGTAGAAGGCGCCCGCTCCCAAGTCAGGCCCGTGTTCAATTTCGTTGGGACCCTGGCAGGCCGCTTTAGCGCTCGCCTCGACCTTGGAGCCGGGAACCCAGGTGCTGATTTGCACGTTGTGGCATGACTGCTTCATCAATGGCGGTGCAGGACTTAATGAAGATGCATCTGCTTCTTTCCAGCTAATGTACCACGGCTCGTGGATGGACACGACATTCCCACCATGAGTTTGATACTCGTGTACGCACGCGCTCTCTTGAGCGCTGTGCAGAGGATTTAATACGTAGTTTGTGTATGTGAAGCTCCTGTGATTCCAGGGTCAGTGTGCTGTTTCTGCGGAAAAGCGCGCGAATCCTGGCATGGCTTATTACTCAGAGCAACAAATAGCACGGGACTCGAATTCGTCGCCAACGCTGGCTACTGTCAGGGAGTACGCAGTCCAGCGTCTAGGACAAACCGCAGGGCTGTACGCAAACTGCGGGGTGCCTGCATCCCATCCCTCAGGCTGGCATGTCGAACTGCGCCTAGGATCGGAGACAACAAAGGTGTCTGTCGTATGGTAAGGAACACCAGTAATCGTTGTAAACTGTCCCCCTTCACAGCCCGACGGCGGCACAAAGGGCGTCGTAAGTGAGACGCGAGTAGCAGTTGGTGAAGACGAACTGCTATCCACTGCGCTTGCAGTTGTTCTGGGAGAGCTCATCCTGTTGGCTTGTGGAATGTTACCTGCAAGTAATAGCGAGATTGTATTGGTGGACGGAGGCAAGTTGGTAACTGGCGAAATGACGCGACTGATGAAAGCCAGCAATACGCACCACAAACTAAAAGGCGGTTGCAGCTTCACAGCCTCTCGGCAGCAAGGCAGTTGCCAGCCAAGCCAAAATACTAAGATAATTTCAGGATTGATGGCTAGTTGCGACGCCACTCAACTAGTTACTGCACCTAACGCTTTTTTTAGCTCCACGGCCCGCTGCTGCAACGCTGCAAGGATGAACTTGGCAGCGCCGGTGGAAGGCTGAAGAGTCACCCGCAAATCAACAAAGGCTAACAAATTCCTTCCCCACGGCCGGCTCCAATTGTGCCCTCCTTTGGGGAATGGGCCTCATCGGGCAGGCTTCCCAAAATAGATGCGATTATCCATATGAAGCCGCTGCACGTTTTGGGTTGCTCACTTGCCTACGGCACAATCTGCCAAAACTGAACAGCACGAGAGTCCCTTGGCCATTTCTTATATCGATGCGTACTCGTTCCAGGTAAAGCTAAGAATTCTAGAACGGCTGTGTGCATCTATAGGAATATATTTATCGCAAACGTACTGTGTCCGTTAATAAATTATCCTACCACAAAAACAAGGCCACAATTAGCCCCGAGAGCACCATTATAGGGCAGCATTGGCCGAATTTCTTTAAACTTGCTGTATTTGTGTTTTCTCGTACTAATGGAGAAGGAAGGGTTCATGGAGGATCGTTATAACTACCCGCAAAATCGATATGCCGTGGTATGCTGCCACGTGTTAAGTGTCTGCTTTGGTGCTTAAAAGGCACAGCCACCACCAAAATACCACTTTTTGATTTGATTTAGCTAGCGCTAAAGAGGTATTTCCGACGATAATCAGCTGTAAAGTCGTACGAAAGTGAATGCGAGTCGCCACAATAGCCAACCACAACCCCCCGCTTCAATGTCTAGACTCTAACATAGACCGACGGCTGTTGCAGAAATCAGGGTCAATTGAAGCGTCAAGGCGCTGAGGAGTAGTCTACACGACTTAAGGGAAACGTTTATGAGAGGCAGGCAGACTACTTCTCAGGCGAGCCGCCGATGTAATCGTTTGAGTAATTATGACCAGACAATTTTTATAGGTAGGCATTAATGTATGAGAGTAGTAGCATTATCGATGATTCTACCGGACAACTTTGTAACGCGTATTGACATGATAACATTTCAAATAGCTTCAAGATAATGACGTATAGAAGAAGTCATCTCTAAAACCGCGATACCATAAAGTGATTAGAGCTACCAGGAAAATTGCACGGGCGCTGAACTTACTTACGCCTTGGCTCGAGTGCCTTATTTTAAGCAACGGCCGGGTCAACGTAGTTAGTTGTCGATAAGGGTGTATAAAGACCAAGTCACATGGCCTAGAGCACATGTTAGATCAGTGCGGGCCGATAGTAGACCTAATGAAACCTGTTAGGATATGGCATAGGGTTATTAAATGGGTAGAAATAGCTCGATTAGTTAAGATGTGATCTTGAGCGTAGTAGACAACGCACGAGAGCCTGCTTAGCATATGCTAGCTATTCGGCTTGAAATTTGGATGCTACTAATACGTAGACGTGATGTCGTATATATCATGTGTATTCACTTCGATAAAGCGGATTATTCTAACGCTTTATCTTCTGGGGGTAATTGGCCTGGCTACCGTATACTTGGGGGGGTTTGACCTCGTCTTTGGCGGTGACGTCATACGCCCTACCGTCTAAATAGTAAACGTCTACTTATACGCGCTGAGCCGAGAGGCGAAGGCGAAGCAAGGTTTCCATTTGAATTGACAGACACACCTGCCTATTTGGTACTATCTCGAGTCAGGATGCTGGCAGAAATATGGATATCTGATGACTGCTTTGGTCCCCGCCGATGATGGAATCATCCGCAGCTAGAGCAGAGGGGGTCAAACTAAGCCGCAATACTCACGCAGTATAGCATACTACGAGAAATGCTTAGAAAATGAGGCTCGACAATTTAGCGAGGAAGAAGATGACCAGATGAGCTTCCACTGAGGGTGGGATGCTGCAAAAAATAATATAAAAGGCCTGGTCTCGTCACTTGTGAAAAACAGTTTCTCACTCAAAGCAGCACTCTACTACCACTACAAGCAAAAGAACACTCTTGACTATTCAGTCTGAAAATCTTCCAAAAATCATCTTTATCACATTCTACCAACCGCTAAAATGAAGGTCGATGCTGATTCTGCCCTGAGCTTCGCCAACACCGCTCTCACTGCTGCCAAAGATGGCGTGGCACTTGATATCACTGACAGCGACGAGATATTCCCTTATATGTTTTCCATCTTCTCGATTGGTGTTGGCCTGGTTCCTGGAGTTGGACCTCTTCTTGGTTCCTTTGCCGGGCTTCTCGGCGCCATTGCCTTTCCTAAGAAGAGCACGGATGTTAATGCGATTTGGAACAGCCTACGTGGAAGGGTTGAAGCCTTGATTGGTGCCAAGATACAGGCCAGCCACGTCAATATCCTACAGAAGAACGTCGAGGGTTTCGCCTCTAATATGGAGGCCTTTACCCGTGTCTTGATTGACTACGAAGAGCTTACCGGAAATGATAAGGCAAAGCAGGCCGAGACTCTTCGCATCCTTTTTAATGCCTTCTTGACGGTCCTACGTGCCGATATTCCAGCATTCCAGGTCCACGAGTATGCCGTGGCATCGCTTCCGCTCTTTACTCAGGCCGCCAACATCCACCTCGCCCTCCTATCTGATGGCATTCGGAATTGGGAGGCGTGGGGCTTCACTGAGAGGTACAGGAACGATCTGCAGCAGCAATTCGACAGGCTTACTGTGTCCTCTTCCAAGCGTATTCGCGCCGCCGTGCGTGACCAAGATGAGCCGTCAGACCTAGACACCATCAAGGAGTGCATTGCCATTGGCGAGGCTGCGGGCTGGGACGCTAAGCTAATTGACACCTGGAAGGCCGCACTGGAGACCCTGTCCAAGGCAACCGCCCTTAGCAGGCGCGCGACGCTCACCTATCCCGCCTATGCCAAGGAATACTACGAAAAGGGCCGCACGATGATTAAGCCATACACTTCTTCATGGGAAGGCTCTGATAAAGGGTTAAGTGAGGCTCTAGCATTAAACGCCTTATCTGATTATGACGCTACTATGATTAAGAACGTGCTTACCTATGCCGAGTTCTGGCCGTATCTAACCGGCAAGGAGATGCCAGAATCAGCTAAGCTGGCGCTGGATCGCGAGATATTTCTAGGCCCATACGGCCGTTACACGGGAGGCGCCACCTGGAACGCTAAGAATGCGCCACCCATCACTACCCGCGGCTCCAATATCACGGCCATCAAAGTGCGCTCCTGGGACAATGTTGACGCCTTGCAGGTGCAGTACGGAGGCCGCTGGGGACCCCTGTTCGGAGACGCCAAGGGCGGCGCCGAACACCAGGCCAACTTGGCTTTTGACGAGTACATCCAGTCTATCGATGTCCTCCACGGACATAAGCTAGGCCAGTTGACCTTCTTCTCTAATAAAGATAAGATCCATGGCTGGTACGGAACCGACAAACACGCGCGAAATCGGACCTCCATCAAGCATCAAGGATACGGTTTGACTAATATGGTCGTCACCCACTGGGAGAAGCACGTGCCCCCAGGCTGTGAGGGCATCATCTTTGGCTTTAGACCTCTTCTCACCGCTCGTGGCTAAGCCAGTCATCAAGTCATCAATCTCTTCTATACGCGCTATCGAAACACACTATAGATTAGATGTATCTTTTTAGAGAAACCAATATTTATATAGACAGAAAATCCAACCATCTCCTTCTTAAGTAAATACTATTTATCTTGAATATAAACACATTTTCTTCCTGCGGCTTTCAACAGTCTTTTCGGCTTCAGAACTTCCTATAGTATCCCTTTACGCCAGGGGCCCCAAGCCCTTCGTTCTCCAGAGCTCGTTCTTTTTAGGTCGACGCCTGCTGTACCAACCCACACGTCTAAGGGGGAAAGATATGGTAGAAGCTTTCTGAGATCGACGCAGAGACAAAGGGTCTGTGTAAGCGAGGCCTACCACTAATAATATATATCACACATCTAAGTTCACTTGACTATTTTAGTTTTACTATTTAAGATATTTTATAACTTTTAAAGAAATACCTAGTAAAGTTTATAAAAACTGAAAAATTACTTTTATTATATAATTAGGCTTTTCTTACTAGTTTTTACTCTAAGATTTAAAAACCTAAGAACTTTTAAAACTGTAAAACTATTGCGTATTTATTACGCTGACTCTAAATATAATCTAATTCGTCTTTCACTCTATTCATCGACCACCTAACTCGCCTAGTGCTTGCCCAACAAGATTAGCTAGCTGGGTTCCTTGTTCCCATGATACATCATGTTCGCCGTTGAGATTCGTCACCACTATTGGCTCAATGCCGTCTCCTCTAAGCTTCTCCGCCATAACATTAAGCTGTGTGTCAGGAACGAGTGTGTCGTCCTTTGAACGTGCCAGTATCACAGGATTATTGCCAGGCCACGTTTCTTTAAAACTTCTTTTGAATCTTGCGGGGGATGCCTGCTGCCAATCATCCCGGTTGTTGCCGAAAGCTTGAGTAACAAAGTTATTGTAAAACGGCCTGCTTTGTGGATCAATTTCGTCAACCAGACGAGTTAGGTCAAAGATGCCGGCGGTTGTGATGATGGCAGCCGGCAGCGGTATTTGGCTGGCCTCGGTATTCGATGTACCATTGCTACCCGCCTGGCATGTCGGAGTCTCAAGTTCACGCCGTTGCCGGCCGCCTTTAGAGCTCAGTGGTTGCAAGGCTGCGTCGCCCCCGACCAATTGCATGGCCATGGTGCCACCAGCCGAGTGCCCAATCAAGATATATTGGTCCATTTGGTTCCTCTGAGCCAAGGATCGAATCGCAGCGCGGACATCGTTAATGTGGTCCGGGTGCCGAGCACCTTGTTGGCTCTGTCTGCGATTTAGGTCTTGCCCTTGGTTTATATTTTGCTGTCGCCTTACCTGGCCACTATCTTGGCCCTGGCCAGGATTACCTAGGCTTGATAGTCGGTAGTCCATGGTAGCAAAGCCGCGGATCTGGTCGAAGGGCGCACCTTTGCGCGAATGCATCTTGGCTGCGGCGCATATGAAATCAACGCCGCCACCACTACGCCAAGCACCCCCATGTAAAAACCTTTAATCATATCAGTTTATGTGAATGGGAAAGGTTAGACCGAGGAGGGAGGCTGAATCATCTTACATTACCCAATACTTTGCGTTCGGATTGACTTCCAAGGCCGTCGCACATTGGAGCGTACGTCCGCAGTCATTTCCATTGTCTGCCTGACTTGCGTTTGTGCCGTAGTTGAATAAATTTCGAATAAAGTCATTTGTTAGTGTGTCGAGTCGTTCACCTGGGCATATATTCTCGCCGGGGCCGCCGGGGCCCTGGGCCGTTACTAGACCTCCCAGCATGGCTATACAGTGCAAGACACGATATGGCTTCATGGTGTTTAGCTGCTGCGGCTTCTTGTAAAGGCAAGAGAGGAGATATTGGCAAAATGCTGTGCCTTTATTGTTGGCCTTATTCGTCGTGGGCTTTTAGTATGGCAAAAAGCATATACATAAAGAAAGACGTACAGAGCAACAGCCAGGGCATGTCAGCTCTTTTAATTGTCTTCTGGGCTGCCCTAGTTGTGCTTGGTACAAGCACACTACGTATTTTAGAGCCGAAGGCCCTCGGAAACATGTCATCTGCATTGAAAGAGCTCTAAAGTGGTGTAATCGGGCGTTGCTGAAGTCGGTCAGGCCGGGAGAGATCAGGGATTTGAGACGGACGACTAGTCAGTTAACTGTCGGCCCCTCATCCGAGAGTCCCCACTAGTTAGGCTACCGGGTCCGGTTATCGTAGTAGGCTTTTGCTATTTTATGTCACTCCAGCCTATATCTGAGGTTTCATTAAGGTTTCATTAAGGTTTCATCGATTCAATCTATTAGGAGCTGTACTAGGTATACGTTAGTACGGACTCTAGTGCTTTAGTTTTCTGCCTATATAAATCGAAGCATTGTCTAGCTTGTAGCTTATTATAGCTTTGATAAAGAACTTTTAAAGTTAAAAGTTATAATAGATGTGGGCCGGAAGGTATGTAGGCTATGTAGTAGCCTCCTTAGCGAGGTGGGTGCGTAGCAAGTTGTGTTAAGATACTAAGTAAGCTCTTAGGATGATACGTAATAGAAAACCCGGTTCTACCGCGTACGGTAGCGCGGTCCTCCTTGCGTGGGTATGGGCGTGATCTGCTACGTTGGTGGCAGCGCGGTCCTCCTTGCGTTAGTAGGGGCGTGATCTGCTACGTTGACGGCAGCGCGGTCCTCCTTACGTTAGTAGGGGCGTGATCTGCTGCGTTGACGGCAGCGAGATTGACTCTGAGATAAAGTCACGTCATTTACCGCGTTACGGTAGTGTTGAGTTTACGAGAGGACCTCCACCCACGGTAGCGTTTTGAGCACTTCTCTTAAGATAGAAGAATACTAGGAGTAGTAACCACACTATAGAGACGCCACGAGAGGCAAAGGTATAAGGGGGTTTTACCCTAAGGTTTTATGGACGTATAAGGCCTAATTCACATTAATAAAGGTGTGGATCCGCATTTTTACTATGACAATTATAAGCCCAGGTGGTCTAGTGGTTAATTAGACTAGAGACTAGTAACTTCTACCTATCTGCGCTGTCGTCTTAAAATTGCTACGAAGAAGGTCCTGAGTTTGACTCCCCCTGCCACATATATAAAGTCTTATGGGCGGGGCAGCCGCTATTAGGGATAGCTACTATAGAAAGAAAAGTATCCTAGGTTACCTAACAAAACGTCCTAAGTAGTACTCTATTAGAAGGAAAAAAATTAGCCTTTTGATAAACTGGGGGGTGTATAGACGTATAAGGCCTAATTTATATTAATGAAGGTGTAGATCCGCATTTTTACTATAACAGGTTTTCCCCTATATCTAGTAGTCTATATACTATAGAGATACTAAATTCTCTACGAGCTACTAGAGTACTATAATAATAATAAGAATATATAATAGAAGAACTTAAAAAGTATATTTAGAGTATCTAGAGACATAAGTAAATTTATAGTCGTGTGAAAAAGTAGCGACGATAATATAACTAAGAATTACCTAAATATTTAACTACTATAATATTTAGGGAGAACTATAAAAAGCCTATAGTAGTAGATACTACCTATCTTTAGTTATTTTTAAAGTATAATTAATATTATTAATAAAGAAATAAATTTTAGTTTTTATTATTATAATATATAAAATTATTTAGTTAAATAATAGAAGAATTATATAAAATATTATCTATTATTAGGTAAATTATATTAGAAGGTATAATTTTTTTCTTTTTTTATACCTCTCTTAAAAAATAATTAAATAATTAAAAATAGTTTTATTTTTTATTTTTATATTTAATCTTCTTATATCTACTTTTTAGTATATATAAATTATAAAGTAAAATAATATTTTATATTTTAATATAATTTTATAATTATTATTATTAATTTACTTTTATTATCTTTATAGGATATTAGATACCTTAATAAATTATTAGTATAGGAAAAACTATTACCTAGCTACCTTAAGGCCTTACTGCCCCTAGCCTATACTTAACCTAGGTAAAAACCTATACTTTACTCCTTTCTATATTAACATTATAATTCCTAGTAGAGGTTAATAGTTCTATTATAATAATTTTCTAGTATTAGGTCCCTAAGCTATACCTTTAATATATATATATATATTACTTCTACTTTTCTAAGGATACTAATACTACTAGATATATTAATTTTACTTTTTTACTATATATAATCTAAGTCCCCTTTAAGTCCCTAATTATTTTTACTTATAATAGTTATATATAATTTTATATTATTACTATAATAGCTATTATAGCATAATAGTTAGTATATACCTAATAATATATTTTTACCTTAACCTAGTCCTATAGTTACCCCTCTTTATGTCTTACCTATACCTAGGCATGCTTATGCTATATAAATCCCTTATAGTATTACTTCTAGTGCACTAGACTTTTAGGAGACTAGGTAGGCTAGTAGGGAATTAAAAAGGGGTGCCTCTAGTGGGATTTAAACCTATAATCTATGTACTAACCTACATAGAACTCCCTAATATAGAACTACTATACTATAGAGGTATAGTTTTATAATTAATAATAATTATAATATTATTTTATTCTAATAACTTTATTAAGATTTATAAAGTTTAAATTAAAATCTATTTAAAGTTAAATAATTAAAAATATTTATTTATAATAATTAAAGTTATAAAGTTATATATAGATATAAGTATATATATATATATATATATAAAGAGTTAATAATAGAAAATTAAAGACTTTTTTATAATCTTTTAATATACTTAAATTACTATTATTAAATCATCTTTTACAAATAGTTTAAAATAAGAATTTAATTAAAAATATATATTATAATTAGAAAAAGAATATTAATAAATAATTTATATATTTAATCAAATAGAATATTTATAAAAATAAAAAAAAGTAGTTTTAATACTAATAAGGAGTATAAATATTTCTTATAATAATTAAAAAAAATTAATATAAAATTTATTTATAAATAAAATAATTAAAGAATTTAAGATTATTTTATAGAGGTTAACTTTTTAATTAGAAGAAATTAATTTAGCAGAATAAGGCTTTTTACTTTATATTAATAATTTTATTAGTTAATTAATCCCTTTACATACAACTACTTTATTTATCATTAGTATTAGGTAATACAGTCCTAACATACCCACCTACCAGTCAAGAGGCGAGAAGCTTCGCTCGAACTGATTTCCAGACGCACCCAGTTGTGAGCTGGGCTTGAGCCTCGACAAATCAATTTTCCATTTTTAATTCCTCTCATCATTTACTTTTTCCTAAACCATTCTTTTCCTCCCTCTGACATTGCACAGCGTCGTTGGCTTGTGCACCGCTGTACCGTGCTTTGCCTGGCAGCTCCTCTACATCACACAGCTCTCTCACCATGACGACACCACCTCCCCCTCGCCGCCGCCGCCTCGTCGGCCTCTCCTCCAAAATGTACTTTTCCCTCTCTCAGACGGAGTCTTACACCGCCGACGTCCTCGCGCGCCTCGCCGCTCTCCCGCCCGCACTCCTCGCCGACACCGATGTCTTCATCCTGCCCGACTTTCTCACCGTGGCCGCCACCGCCGCCCGCATCGCCGCCAACGGCCTGCCCGTGTGGTCTGGCGCCCAAGACTGCCACTGGGAGGACCGCGGCTCCTTTACCGGCGAGGTGAGCCCCGCGGTGCTGCGCGACGTCGGCGCGCGCATCGTTGCCGTCGGCCACGCGGAGCGCCGCCGGCTATTCGCCGAGGACGACGCCGTGGTGGCTAAAAAGGCAGCGGCGGCGAGCCGCAACGGCATGGTGCCGCTGGTGTGCGTCGGCGAAGAGACAGAGGGCGACGTCGGGGTCGCGGTCGCCGAGTGCAGGACCCAGGTCGAGGCCGTTGTCGGCGCGCTGGCGGATGACGCGGAGCTGGTTCTCGCGTATGAGCCCGTGTGGGCGATTGGCGCGTCGCAGCCCGCGGGGGATGCGCATGTGCTGGGCGTCGTTGCGGGACTGCGCGAGCTCGACTGCGTCAAGAACAGAAAAGGCACGACGCGGGTTGTATACGGCGGCAGTGCTGGCCCTGGCCTGTACGAGCGTCTCAAGACTGGCCTCGACGGTCTCTTCCTCGGGCGTTTCGCCCACGACCCGGAGCGTTTTGTGCAGACTGTCAAAGAGGTCGCCGAGGCTTAATTACGCCATCAAGTATCAAAAAGGACATGCCAAGAGCTTCCGTGATTGAGATTGTCATGTCTCCAAAGACACGGCTTCCAACACGATCATTGGGCGATACTGGAACATGTCGGCTGAATTGCCAAAGTAAAACTGCTTCATCAAGAGCAAACCACTCCAATTTTGAACCGTGTAGCATTTATTGTAACGGCTTGCCGATTACGAGGCTTAATTCTCGAGTGCCACTTTTGGCACGGCACTTATAGAGGGGCCACTGTTTAGAGGCGTTTATAGACGAATGGAATTACAATCATCATGAGTCGATATGACTCAATTCAAAACTTTCGGAGTTGCCAGCAAAGACTCGCCTTGTAGTGGTAAAACTCGCAGATTAGCGCTAACAACGGCGCCGCTGTTAGCCTGATTTCATTCATTTAGCTTCATCTCAACATGTCTCTCACCGCGTAGGTTGGGAACCTTTTATCGCAGAGCTCCAACGCATATTTAGCTGCTCCTCTAGCAGTAAATCAAGCTTTCGGCCCTGCCCAGTCCCACAAACCATGTTATTAGCAATGCATTGGCAATCAAATCCCTCCCTCACCCGAGTGTGTAGTGTGGAGTTGCTTGGCCGGTTCTGGCCCCTCCCAAAACCCCTCATCGGAGGGCTTGTTCCTTGATATGACATGCCATTGATCCGGCGGGGTGGTTTGACTATCCAATAAAGAGACGCGTGCAAAAAGAGGAGCATTGATATAAAAAAGACGCATTGCCGTCCTGCCCTTTTTTTACTCTCTTGCTTCCTTGCTTCCTTACATTGTCATCAGTATAATAAGACTAAAAACACTCGAAACCATTCAACAAGTTCGTACACATCTTGGTGGTTGAGGCAGGTATGCGACAGGTAAAAGCAATAGATGGCTAACGTCTCTACACGACACGCAGATACAAAAAAACAGCCTTTTTGGTATTTGATACCCTCCCCGTCCGGGACAATGGCCCTCATCATGGCGGCCTCTCGGTGGTACTCTATCCAGACTTGAGATCAAGATTTTCCTCTTCAGGTAAAGTGTTGCAGCATGAGCCGGTGCCTGTCTGTCTCTACGTTTCTGTTTCCCAGCGTCGCTCTCACGGCGCGCCCAGGGAAGCAGGTCGCAGAGGCGGGTGTGGCTGAGATTACACGGCCCTCAACTTGATCTGGATAATACCAGCGAAAGGATCATGCCTCCTCCCCTTGTCCCCCCCAAGACGTCCAGGACGTGGTTATCCTAACCGTCGCAGGTATCACCGTTAAACTCCCTCCCAAAAAAATCTTGCAAAATGAGCCCTCCTGCTGCCCTGTCCCCCCCTCAGCACGCCGCCGTGCCCGTGTCCAAGGTGTCCAACGGCAACGGCCACGCCGTCGCCAAGCCCGGCTTCCCCGACACCAGCGGCGTCGCCATTGACGACATGCTGGGACAGTGGGACAACTTTCAGTTTGCGCCCATCCGCGAGTCGCAGGTCTCGCGGGCCATGACGCGCCGCTACTTCCAGGACCTCGACACGTACGCCGAGTCGGACATTGTCATCATCGGCGCCGGCTCCTGCGGCCTGTCCGCCGCCTACGTGCTCGGCAAGAAGCGGCCCGACCTCAAGATTGCCATCATCGAGGCGTCGGTGAGCCCCGGCGGCGGCGCCTGGCTCGGCGGCCAGCTCTTCTCCGCCATGGTGATGCGCAAGCCCGCCGACGTCTTCCTGCGCGAGGTCGGCGTGCCCTATGAGGACGAGGGCGCCTACGTCGTCGTGCGCCACGCGGCGCTCTTCACCTCGACCATCATGTCCAAGGTGCTGCAGATGCCCAACATTAAGCTCTTCAACGCCACCTGCGTCGAGGACCTCATCACGCGCGCCGGCCGCGACGGCGACGAGGGCGTCCGCATCGCCGGCGTCGTGACCAATTGGACGCTCGTCTCCATGCACCACGACAACCAGTCCTGCATGGACCCCAACACCATCAACGCGCCCCTCATCATCTCCACCACCGGCCACGACGGGCCCATGGGCGCCTTTTGCGTCAAGCGCCTCGTCAGCATGCAGCGCATCGAGAAGCTCGGCGGTATGCGCGGCCTCGACATGAACACGGCCGAGGACGCCATCGTCAAGGGCACCCGCGAAATTGTGCCCGGCTTGATTGTCGGCGGCATGGAACTATCCGAGGTTGACGGCGCCAATCGCATGGGTACGTGGCCTGGCTGATGCGCAGTACACCTTTTTTTTTTTTTTTTTTTGTTTTTTTTTTTTTTCATTATTGGAAATCGACGGCTAACATGCGGTGTAGGTCCTACTTTTGGTGCCATGGCCCTCTCTGGCCTCAAGGCTGCTGAAGAGGCTCTCAAGGTCTTTGACATCCGCAAGAAGGAAAACGAGCTCTAAGCTCAAGTAGCTAGCCAGACATGAATAGGACACAGAGTGAAGACGAGAACACGAGATTTCGCTCCTTTTCGTACCTTTGCATTTCACTGTCGCTACCTACTGCGATGTTCAACTCGATTAACAAATGAAAATCAATCTGTGAATCGTCAAACCGCGCTGCATCTTGATTGTGATTTGAACATGTTCTTCGTAATTCATGTATTGGTATCCTGGAAAGCATCTTGATATATTTTGTACATTGCGTACGTCTGGTAGCCTGCTACCAGCTCATAGTAACCATGTGCACCAGCCAGTGTCAGATGACGTCGCGCAGGCACTTGAAGAGCGTCTTGATGCCTGCCGCGGCGCAAACGGCACCGTGATACTACTTTTATTTTGTCCTCGACTCGCGCTCAAACTTGTAGTGGTCCTAGCGCGTCTGGTGCACAAGTGCCGTCTTGTCGTGGATCATGTCGCGCCGCTGCATGGCCGACAGCGCGAGCGAGGCGTGCCACAGCACCCTAAAGGAACGCCAGCGCACACACTTGAGGGGAGTGAGAGGATTCAATGGCGGGGGGGGAGGGAGGGGGGGGGGGGGGGGGGGGGGGGGGGGCTCTATGAGCGCACGAGTGTCTGTGTGACTATTGCAACTTCAGTGAAAATGAGCGCCCAAAATTTTCAAACCAAAATGATATGCATCGCCTTAACCGTGAGATTGTCCTAACGACAATGCCCATCAGCAAGCCTTGCCGTATGACGATATCGTATCTCGCTTTCGATTCTTGGGGTGGGGTAGCGTCGGTACTTTTGGCTTCACGTGATGTGACTCAGTAAGTAGTCACCCTAGACCTGAGGTTGGCGCCAGCCTTTCTCAGTTGGTAAAACAGGTCGCCGTATTTTGGGTTTCTTTAGTGAACGCGCAAATGAGGTGGCGAAAGCCTGCGTAGGTCTACGCCAGTGTTTGCGCGTTGTGGAGGGTCGGAAGTTATAACGCCCGCCGAGCTTAATTCACGACTCAATACATGATCGGAGTCCGAATGTGGAGTGGGTAACTTGGGCCGATGCGTGTTCGTGGTGATAGATAGGGCTGGGCAGGTAATTGTCACAGTAAAAAACAAGGACGAGGAGGGAAAAAAATGAAAAAATTCTGCATTGAATTAAACAATACTTGTAGAGAAAAATTGCAAGTAATTTAAAACGGAAACCGAATGTCCATCGCATCGTGAATTCATGTCGTGGTATCTTGTTCTAAAACGCCATCCGCCCAAACCGCTGGCCATCTCTCACTTGTTGATAATATATGCTGTGGTTGAAAGCGTTAGCTAGTTTGAAACACGATTGACTGCGCACTGATCATCTCACCTAACCTGGCTTCTATGGTGTTCCACTTGTCCAATTCAGATGTAAGAGGCTTCTGCTTGGGGTGCTTCGTCTTGGACTTGACGGCCTGCGACATCCCTCTGGCGGCTGCCTGGCAGGCAGCCGGGTCGACGAGGGTGACTTCGGAGGCTGTCGACCCCAAGTCTGCCTTTTTCGACCTTTTGAAGAATGGCATGATTCTTTTTTTTGGTGGTTTGTATTTCGGGGAGCTTGAGTGGAAAGTGTATTGTGATGGCTTTGCGAGCTTGTCAAAAGCTGTTTTTCTGTATTCAGTTGAATGAATTGATTGAATGACTTGATTTACCATCTTCCACAAGCCCAGATTTGTCGAGAATGGCCGTGCTTTAAATATAAACGTTTTCCTTGACCGTCTCGGCAGCGATCCGCATCTCCAGCAACGCGCCCTTCGGCCACAAAAACTTTGTCATCGGTCCTGCGACTCACTCGGTAAGCCGTCATTCACCACCTATACAGGTTCTCTCGGCCTCAAATCAAGCCACGCTCTCTCACCTTTCGAGTCACCATCACTCAAAAGCGTGCAAGGCAACCATGGGTCTCGGCTTCGGCTTCGGACTAAGTGGGGTAGCCGATGGGCAGTCCAGCGAATGAGGTTCCTCGCTCGGCGCCTCAGCTAGGACGGAGCTCGGTGCGGCTCTGCACCCTTGTTGCGTGCGCCAGAGCCAAAACGACAAAAGATTCACAATCGGTATTTCTAAGCCATACGATCTCGGAGCACGCAAGATATAGGTCCGTGATAATTACAAAGCGTGGCGCTGGTGGCTGCTGCTAAAGAAAACAAAGCGTCTTGCGTTGCCAGTCTCGGAGATGGCGTTAGCACCGACTGTGTGAGTGAGCGAGTGAGCAGATCCTCGCGACTGTCGACGTGGATGACACAGAAATGAGGCTCAGAGCCAGGATTCATTGCAAGTAGACAGGAACTCACACGGCCCTCCGTCGCCGAGAATTGTATCCGAGTCTAACTACTCATGCGTAAACATTGCCCTGCCTACTCCGTACATCATAGATGAACCATTGCTGCGTCAGCCGCTCCCACGGCCGGGTCACCGTTCCGGGTAACTATTTATCGCCAGCTGCACTAACTAGGTAGTCCAGATTCGCATGTATAACTAATTTTCGAGTACCAGAGAGCTCTGCACAGCGTCTTATTGGTACCTTGACATGGAGCGGGGTTCTCAAGGGAGAGACACACTGATTACCCACCTACAAATACTCAGTAGTCAGCGGCCGGATTGGCAATCGGCTGGGAGACTGCAAACGCGGATGGACAGACAGGCCAGTCGAGATTCTTGTTTTAGGCTAACCATGTCGACCAGTGCAGTTGAATTTTGACCTACAAACCATACTTGCCCACTCACATGAGATGAGGATTGTTCATGGTATGATGAGCAAGCTTCAGTTGGGAGAATGCGCTATCGGGCGGCTGCTGGCGAATCGCGATGAACTGACTTTTGGACGGATACAGCACTCACAGGCCCCATCAAGGGTTATCCCTGAGTGCAAAATGAGATTGCGGATATTCTGTAAAAAGTAAGCAATAATAATGAAAAATGAGGACATAGGCAATGAATTTTCTGCTCCCTTTTATTATTCCACTATTTGCAGGGGAGCCGAGCGACGAGCCGCTCAACAAAATACACAACTTGGCGCCGCTTTTGCAACTTTCGCGGGCAAGAACATGCATCATTTGTCCTTTCTCTTGTATCTCAATGTGCTAAGCCCTATCTACATGACAAGACACTAGTAGCCGTTACACTGCCTTTTGTCAAGGCTTCAAGGTCCGAGATGAAAGAGCGTAATGATTAGGCGCAACACAGGCCAGTTCGCGCGCCTAATAATTAATACTCTGTTATGACTACGGAGTCTGCGCAGGCCTTTTGGCAATTTTTTGTCTCTGTGAAAGGGGCAGTGCTTACAGGTTCCAGAAAAAAAACAATGAAACTCTGATGTCTCGGCTTCTCCTGCCGGCAATCCTACGCTCCCTATTCCGGAGCCCGAGAAGAAGTCTTGTTTGTAAATATTGCCTATTGACTAGCTCCAGGCACCGGCAGTGCCGCTGCACAATTTCAGGGCGCATCTGCGCCTGTCTCAAAATGAAGTGACCAAGTATCTTTTGAAGCTCAAACACAAGCAGCCAGCACGCAGCAGTGGAGAGATCAGCGCTGTCGCAGCTTTCAGCTAGACCAATTCTTCCAGACGGGCAGGTTAAAAAGGGCTGAGCAAGAAGGCTGAGCAATCAGATCTTCAGCTACTTCAAATGGCTAGCCAATCCCTAAATATTGGCCTGCTTGTCAGTACAATTAGCGTGCCCCCGCGCCCGTCCCAAGCCAATGAATTGGCGGGTGGAGATTGGCTGAGTCGCAGGCCGGCTAGCTTTTTCTTCGACTGCGATACACTCAACGTACTTTTGCTATCACAACGCCTGCTGCTGCAATCTTGACATTGAAGAAAAGATTCAGAGAGCAATTCGAACGCATCAGATCGGGCCTTGCGACTAGCTTTGCATCGCAAAGTTGCATGGCTTTAAGACCTCAGCCACTTTGAGCACCAATCGGGATGCTTCGTCTCCGTTAGTCCAAATTGGCTCTACATCTGCAGGGAACAAAAAGTTCCCTCGCAGAGGATCCCCGCGCAGGTCGTGTTTGCTCATGCATGTTTCTTGTTGTGTTACACAAGCAAGACGCAATCTGCCACGACATTGATATAGCGAGAGGCAGCCGGCCATGTCGCCAGCCCACCCCCTTGGAGGGCCATGTCGCCCTCGTCGCTTCACAGAGCGACTATCTGCACTCATGAGTGCTGCCGAGCTATCGTCAGTGTCAAAATGGATTGTGAGTAGTCGGATTTGATGCCGGCCGAGGTCTAGTCTGCTGACAGTGCGAATCCCCCAGAATGATGATGTTCGCCCCGTCGAGAAGGAAAGGCGAACATGGACACTCAGATCCTATCATGATTTTTGTACGGTCTTCGCAAAAGCGGCAGCGCCTTCGGTAGAATGCTAACTGTTCTCCTGTCAGGGCTTGTCATCAACTGCAATACAACGACCTTCATCACCGGAAGTGCCCTCATTCCACTGGGCCTTTCTTGGTGGCAAGCCGTCATCTGTGCGTATTCCTCCGACATTTGGCTTCGCCCACTCGATTCCTGACCCAACGCAATGTAGGCATCGTCGTTGGCAATTTGATCGCTTTGGCTGCAGTTCTTGCCAATTCCATAGCAGGATCTCGATATCACAGTGAGGAAAACCGCAGCCCCGCGTGAAGGCGCCTTGTGCTAACGCCCATACAGTTGGGTTTCCCGTCATCAGTAGATCGATCTGGGGTATGTGGGGTTCCCAGTTCACCATTTGGAACCGTATATTCCTTTCAATAGGTATGTGACCTTTTCTGCGGTCATGTTTTCTTGCTAACTGGTACAATAGTTTGGTCAGTTTCCTTCCCGATGAGGTCACTAACACCCACTAACCTGGCAGCAGGTACGCTTCTCAATCCTGGACAGGCGGACAGTGCTTTCATCTGATTGTCCTGGCATTGGACCCCAAAGTCGATCAACACGTGCACAATACCATGCCGACCGGTTCTCATTTGACGACAGCACGCTTCATGTCCTATGTAATTTTCTTCGTCATCAGTCTCCCGTTCATTTGGATTCGGCCACACCGACTGCAGTGGTTTTTGAACAGCACATCCCTCGTCGCGCTCGTCTTCTACATTACACTTTTGATCTGGGCCCTGTCGACAATGGGACCGAGTGGATTCGGAAGTACAATCACAGAAGACAAGCCAAATCCTCCTAGCGGCCCCAACAGCACTGCGTGGGTCATGGTTTCTGGCATTGTTGCAACTGTCGGTTCGATAGCAGCCGGAATCCTCAACCAAAACGATTACACACGTCTGGCTCGCTCATCTCGAGACGCAAAATGGGGCCAGGTTATTGCGTACCCAATCTATAGTATTGGCACTTCCATCGTTGGCATCTTGGTCGTAGCCGCCACGCAGGATCGCCTCGGCAAGGAGCACTGGTATCTTCCGGGACTTCTGGCGCGTCTTGTCCGCAAGAATCCTACGCCGGCAGCTCGCGCTGGCGTCTTCTTTTCGGGACTGGCTTTGACATTTTCCCAGCTGGGAAGCAATGTACTCGGCAATGCGTTGGCAGGTGGTATTGATCTGGCGGCCGTCTTTCCGCGATATCTCAATATTCGCCGAGGTGCTTACATCACTGCGATACTGAGTCCAATTGTGAATCCATGGCGAATGGTAGACACGGCGACAGTCTTCATCTCAGTCATGTCGGGCTATGGCGTTTTTCTGGCGCCCATGACAGGCATGATGGTGGCGAGCTATTATGTGGTGCACCGGCAGAAATTGGATGTCGACGACCTGTTCCGGGGCAACTCGTCAAGCAAGTACTGGTATAGCAGAGGCATCAACTGGAGAGCACCCGTATCCGTAAGTATCGTCGTCAAGTCGGTAATATGACTACCAGTAGCTGATGCGATGTCGAACAGTGGGCTATCGGCGTAGGCCCGTGTGTGCCAGGATTTGTGACCTCAGTCAATAGCTCGGTCAATGTGCCGGACAGCATTCGAGAGCTGTACATGACAAACTATCTGTATGGATTTTTTTCGAGCGCTCTTGTATTCGTGGCGCTACATGCTATTTTCCCGGTGCGCGTCGTCGATGAGTTTGTCAAGAACGAAATGTCAGCTGCAGAACTGCAACAGTACTACAGCGACCGGTGGGATGTAAGCTTGGCGGAATCGGAGCGGATAGTGGCGAACTTTATTCAGGAAGAGGACAAGAATGAAGAACGCCGAACTGTCGGTCGTCAAACGGAGACGGGATCTGAAGCAGAAACCAAAGAGATGCGAAGACGGGTGGCTTATGCAGAAGTTTAGAAACGGAATTGGTAAATTTTGAGAGTTGGTCAAACCGTCAGATGTTAAAAGAAAGATCAGTTCTGGCTTTCACCCTGTTGCATATGACGGACGAGTTGTAAGGGTGACATGTTGCGGTAGTTCGACATTTGGTGAGGAAGCGCTCTCGGGGTCTATCCAAACAAATAGTCGAAGCCGAAGTACCTTTTCGGGTCCAGGCAAGGACAATCCCCGCACTCACACTCGATTATTGTAGTCGTGTGGAGATGGCGTCGTGAGACGTGGTCAGCGCTTGAGGCTTGCTGTCCCGTTGGGTGGCATCGTCGGCCAACTCTATGTGCATAGCTGTGATCACCGTACCCACAGGTGTCAAAATGAGACCATCCTTGTGCAGAATGGGCCAGATTGCTGGTGAGGCACAACAGGCAGATTTATCTGCCGAGTGAGGAGTTGGCTTTATTGGAGACTTTGTTGTTGGTCAACAAATATTGATTTGAAGTTGTTGAACCCACGACGGCTGCATCTTGGCGTTGTCGGTTGCAAACGGCTGCCAACGGGGACGGGTAGAGCTGCACTGGCTGGAGAGCTTGGGTGATGCAGCCCAATGGATCCGAGTAGGTACCTTGGTAGCGGCGAAATTTGTGAGTAACCGCCGGTACCTCAATGTATCCGCATTTAGGTACAGTTGGCAAAGCTGCTAAAGCAGATTGGCTCAACAGGCACTGTGCTGGGATCCACGGATATCAAGGGATAAATGATGACAAAGCAGAGCCCGCAATGCCAGACAAATTCCCAGTGAAAAAAAAAAGGCCTCAATCCTGGTTGAAAAACATTATCTTTGTTACTTGTGGTCAGACAGGTCTTGTCATGTCGCTACATCCCGCGCTGCCAATGATTCGTGTCCGCTACTAATAATAATACCTACCCGCTGATCCATCTCACTAACCTGCTTGTCTACTAGGCTGTGAGCCAGTGCCGACCTTTGTTCAACAGGCTATAACCAGTTAGCCAGTCCCCTTGGGATCCGCCGCCACACTACTCGTGCTAGCGTGACCACACCAACCGGCTGCAGGTCTTGCGTTAGCCGGCCTGGCCGTCTCGTCTTTCCCCCCTCAAGCCTCCACTCCTCAATCTTCGGCCAACTTTTTTCCCCTCGCCGCTGCATCTTGGCTTCCTTCACACCCGCTGCCTCATCTGCACCACGCCCTTGGAATCCTTCGCCTAACCTTGTTGGCCGATTTCTCTTTTCTGCCCCATTGCCCGCCTGCATTGTCCGGGGTTGCGTCCGTGCCCGTCCTACACTCTTGTTTCGGCAGCAAACTGCATCTCAACATGCATAGTCCTCCCGCTGACGTCCCCGAGCCCGGCGGGCCTTCGCCGGCTGATGCAGCCTCAGCTTCCATAGCTCGCCGCCGCAAGTTTACTATACAGAGTAGCTTCGGCCAGGCGCGTGAGCGCAGGAGCCGAAAGAATCGTCCCTGCGATGCCTGCCGCCGACGCAAGACTGCCTGCGTCATTACTGACCAGCCACCATGTAAGTCTCTCATAGCTTGCTCTCCGCTTCGCTTATCATGCTTCGTCGCGCGCGACATACTTCGTATCGCGCTAGCTCCCTTCACCATGTTCCGTCACATGGCTAATCTCATTTGCTCATGCAGGTCGCTTTTGTGAGACACGAGGCATCCCCTGCTTGTCTTCCGGCACACTGGCCGACAAGGACGCCGGTGCCACTGCAGACGGTGATCACGCCTCGCCAGATGCTGCGTCACCTCACTCAGTCTCCATCTCATCCCCTGCAGACTCAATCCGCCATAGTCGCCCAGACCTCTTTCCCAACGGTGCCTCACGCCCGCCTGTAACCTCATGGCCGACGCCTTCGCACGACAGTCCTGGTTCCTCCCACCACGCCTTCTCTCCAATCAATGTCGCGTCGCAGCAGTCCGCAGCCAGAACCCCAGCCCAAGACAGTCCTCATCCTTCTTCTCAAGCATCCCTTCCTCCCGCATTCACTGACAAGGACCGCCCGAGCGCAGTCAAGCTCCCCTCTGCAGCCACCATTACTACATTTACCAAGGGCAGCGCTGAGGGCATGGGCATCTGGCCCACGAATGGCCCTGGGCGTATTCATACCCTCGAGGATAACGTGAACAAAACTGCCAACTACATGGGGCCAGCTGCAGAGCAAGATACCCATGTTCTTGACTCGTTTCGCTACATGATTGTCAGCGAGATCGACGAGATTGACGCCGACTACCTGCAGGTTTACCCAGGCAGCTCACAATTGAACGACCCCCCTGTCCATTTTCTGCTCTTAGAGAATGAAGTACCCGAATATACCAATCGCCCAAAACGGGAAGCATCCTTGGCCATTGAATCAAGAGTCTATCCGTATGGACCGAACCTTGTTCGTCTATACTTCAAATACGTTCATCCAGTGTACCCGGTCGTTTCCAAGGTTCGGTTCCTACGTCTATACAACTCGAGCAAGGAAAAGATCCCAGCATCGCTTCGCGGCGCTGTTTACGCCTTGGCCACGGTATTCTGGAATAGAGACCCGTCGCTCAAGGGCCCCTGTCCCTGGGAGCAACACGAGTTGCATACTCAAGCACAGAGCTCCTTGCGTTGTGAGCTTGAAAATCCCAATCTCGCCAATCTGCAAGCATGCCTGCTTTTGATTCACATGGCCCCGCCTTGGACCGATACAGTAGAAACGCCCAGTATCTGGATCCTCGCAGCCCAAGCTGTCTCCAACGCGCAGATGAGCGGCCTACACCAAGATCCGTCGAACTGGAACATAGAATCATGGGAGAAAAAACTGCGCAAAAAGTTGTGGTGGGCTATTTACATGGCTGATTGCTGGACTTCCATCTGTCATGGTAATCCGCCTCACATATATCGTGAATCATTTGACACAACACCGCCTGACCTGGAGGACGTTCGCTTCGACGAAGACGTACCGGAGGATTTGAAGCATATGGTCGATCCAGACTCATCAGTGTTCCAGGTAGCTGTTGGTCAACGATTCTTGGAGATGGTTCGCATCACCAGAATTGTGCGCGAAATCATTGATTGCAGCTTGTGAGTTTCTACCTGTACGAAACATGTGATATCAGCTAACATTTTGGTAGTCTTGTTAATCCAAGCGCGCGGTATCCTCATGGCCCTGACCATGTTTTTCACACACTGGCAGCCCAGAAAGAAAAGCTCCATGAGTGGCCTGCTCTGCTTCCGCAGTGCTTGTCCACAAGACGGATAAACTCAGCTCCCGCTATCCATAACAACTGTATGCTTCTCTCTATGGCAGACCGCACCTGTGTTACCCGGACTAACTCGCATAAAAGGCCCATTGCACTTGATGTACCACGCTGCCAAAGTTTTACTATTTCGAGCGATCCTTTCCCCTGCCACAAAAGCAGCCAGAGCAGACCCAAATTCGAGCCTACGCAGGAATTTTCATGAAGCGGTCTACGAAATGCAACAATTCGCAACCTTTATGGACGAGGTCACAGAGGGGGACTTGCAAGGTTTCTGGGGCCGGCGTAAGTTGCTGTAATACCTTTTAGGCCATTAAGACTTCTAACACATTCCAGTGGGACGGTCTCAACTCATACTGTGCGGCAACTTCATGATACATCTTTTCATCGTCGCCTCCGGCCCAGACGATATCAGAGTGGCTCATCATGTTCTTCTGAGCTTTCATCAGTCGTTGCAGCGTTTGGCAGCTACGCAATACTATGTCGGAAAGCTACTTCTTCGCCCTGTAGCCCTACGCATGGACTCTTTTTTCTCACAGGCTGGTGAGATTATCAGACGTGGCGGCCATGGATATTGGCAGCTGGACTCTCTCAAAATTATCAAAGATGGCACTCTTTAACTTGAAATAGGATTATGGAAAACAGCATCGCTGTGTATACTAATTGGGTCTACAGTACCGGAGGCACTGACGGGAAACAACCTGACAATAGCATAACCAGATATAGAGTTGGAAATTTATGAATACACGACTTATGAGCGGCCACGTACTAAATGGAGATAACAATCAGCGAGGACGAAATCCTACCTACTGCGAGCCTAACTATTTAAGACAAACGTGCTCAAGATCGCGAGAACATGACTAGCATCCGTGCATGAAAGGGAAAGCGTTGCCTCTCGGAACTGGATTGCGGAGTGATCTTCCAAGATGATCTCGGCCGCAGAGTCTCTTACTTCGTGCAAATGACCACAATCGCCGTCACCGGTACACCGTATCCACTACTTCCATCGACCTGTGTACACGGCACTGTGACAGTCGGCGTCAAGGACCGCACAGCCTGGCCGAATGATGCTTTTTCCTCCTCGGTCCATGTCTTGGAGAACATGCCAAACAGCTCCAGCAGCTGGTCACCGAGGTCGTCGGCAGTGGGCGCTGCATAGTACGCCTTGCGCAGCTCAACCTTGACGTCTGCAAACCCACCGTCATTGCGCAAGCACGCCTCGACTTGCGCGGGATCAAACCACCGCGGCTCGATCGGCATCTTAATTAGCTCGGCGCCGGGCCGCGCCCTTTGTTGCGCCGGATACAGAATATCGTCGACTTGACCGAGCTGCGCCCATGTCGTGACGACGGCGACGCCGCCCGGTCTGAGCGTGCGGTGCAGCTCGCGCGCACCCACCGCGGCGTCTGTGTAGAACATGAGGCCCATGTTGGTGATGCTGTGCGAAAACGTGCCGTCGGCAAACGTGAGCCTCTCACCCGGCATGACGGCCGCCGAGCAGCGGTCAGTCACGCCGAGGGAGGAGAATTTTGCGGCGCACGCGGCGACCATCTTTTCGACCGGGTCGGCGGCGCGGATCTCGGGCACGACCCCGCCGACCCCGCCGACCCCGCCGGAGCTCTGCCGACGGCAACGGTTGATGATTTCCTCGGCCACGATGCCCGTGCCGCAGGCATTGTCGAGGACGACGGCGTCGTGCGGCGCGTCGAAAAGGTTCCGGAGAGACTCGAGCTCGAGAATTTGGCGCGCAATGGCGCGGGTGCTGCCTCCGGTCGAGTGCTCGTACGACTGGGCAATATTGTCAAAGAGCTGCGCGCCGGCTGGCGGAGCGGCCTTGGTCTCCTGTGGTTCGGCAGACATGTTGCGTGCGTGTTGTGCGAGTAAAGAGATACGATTTTTGAAAGTAAAAGTTCTAGCCGTGGAGCGCATTGCTGAGAATATTCACGTTTAAGTGAGGACCTGAAGCTCCATATATACGATACTTTTACTTGCCACCCCTCGATATACTTGCGCCAAACTCAAGCTAACTCCGCAGCTGAATACGTTAAACCTTATTTACAAGAAAATAAGGGTGTACGCCGGCGCCTCGTTTATTCCCATTGCAGGCAAGTTCGATTAAGCTATTTCTGGTGTAAGTTCAAGGACTTGGAGAATTTAGCGGCTGTCGGGTCTATCATCAGGTGAGGCGTCCCAGCAACCCAGCGACTAGTTCGCTTTGTTTCTCGTCCAACGGGCGCTCGTTTTGTTTTATTTTCATGAAGGTGACTTTTCGTCATCTTCTCTGTACTTCTGATGTCCACGGTGCCTGAAAATTACTGCGCAGCGGACTGGGCCTCGTGACTGTTCGCATGAACTAACCCTCCGCCGAACAGTCCCGAGCAATTCTCATGAGTCTGCAGGGAATTTTCCCCTACAAATTGAAGACGAGCTCAATAAACAGCGCCATATTCTCCTTTCTGAAAACATGTTGCATAGCTGCCTCTTGCATCAGGTCTGTGTTTTCGCTTGGTCTTGATGGTTCTGCTCTCCAAGTTGGAGTTCCTTTTTCCGAGTTCGTCCGCCACTTCAACATGGCGGTTCGCGACTTACGATTAAGCTATGATGATCCGTGGGGTAGTTTTGCGCGCAGTGCAGTAGCAGCGCCTTCCGGTGCTTCCCCGCGAAGATCATGTCTAGATGCATCAAGCTCAGGCAGCCGCGTAACGCCACAAGCCGAATGGGATGAGGTAGAAACGGGATTAGCCGGCGCATGTTGTTAAAAGTACTTTACCATCTACTCTTGGTAGTTGCCTTTGCTTAGGTATTGTAGAAGCCGGGTACGTATAATGGTCCGCTGTTGCTTGATGCGCGGCTTCCTGATACCCTTCAACGTGTGCATCTCAGTCTTTTGCAAGCCTGTACTCCCTCTGGAATGTCACATACCCCGGACTGGCTTTCAATACCCTAGCCTTGGCCGAGAAGCTTGGCCAGTAGGGCGTGGCTGGGGCTGGATAGCATACTGAGAGGCATCGCGCCGAATACAGAGCGGTATTGGCACCGATAATAGTGTAGATAGACTGTATCTGGTACTTAAAGCCTTCTGGTTATCACATGACTGATTAGAAATGCTGTTATTGATTGGTTTAGATTACAACATCATGGCTGAGCTCTGAAGATAATGCCGTGGGCAAAGTCTGCAACGATGTCTGTGGACGCTGCAGGTAGGTGTTTGAGCGATAATTTGACAGAAGTGTTTCAACGTCAAACTTCAGATATCGGCAAGCGAATCTATTGAGCCGTCCGTTAGTCACTTCGAGATTAAACGTCTGGCGCTCCAGTGTTCCGTTTGCCTACACTGCCGGTGATCACCAGAGGCTACGCTTCGACTGTGTCGAGTACACATTCCATAAATCGTCAAAGAAACTCACGTTGGTTATGACAGTTTCCAAAGCATTATCTTGATACCTGATCCCACCAACTACTCGAAGCTGGGAGGAAAGTCTTCTTGAAGCTTGTAGAGGCCAACGAGCGATTGCCAATGCTCGTGAGTGGTCTAATGGAAGTGCATAAAGAATTGAGGTTAGGAGAAATAGTGCATAGGATTCGTAACTGTTTGAATTGTTTGTATTCTTGAGGCATCTATTCTCGGGCTAAAGTGATCAGATGGCGCGTACTGTCTAGCATTTGTCGTTCATGGATAGGGAAGAATTCTCTGCCGTCAACATGGGCGTCTAGAGCTTCACATTTCACAAGTGAAGACTTATACTATTCAATGTTACCAGAAAACTAAACAAAAGGGTCGGAACTTTCAAGATCTCTGTGTACCGGCGTAGTTCAAAAGGTCCCGCATGTCGAGCAATCTACTGATATCAATGGCACTCCCATTCGGCTTTGCGGTGTGAGCAGTACACGCAGGAGGAGTTCGCTCTCTCTTCTGATTTACAGCCATTTGCTGCATTTAAATTTACTGTGCCTCTTGAAATAGTAGATTGCTCTCTTTGGGGTCAGTGATTTTGTGTTCATGCTGGTTGTGCGGCGGTATTATATGGCCAACGAAAGCAAGCAACATTATGTTACGAGACAGCGTAGAATTGTTCATAACTACTACATGCTGTTATACGAGTTACCATGTATTCGTCGCTGTAAGTTTCCTTGAACTCGGCGACTTACTTTGCGTCGTCTACACAGCCGTGCAGTGTCCCGCGGCTTGTCTCCTCGTTAGTTGCCCCAAACATGATCCTCCAAGGGTCAAACTGAACCCATGCTATTGTTAATCCACAAATATCACAAACCTGCGTTGAGATCACCCCAGGATCTTTTGCACCCGTCCGCAGTTTATCGGATACAAACAATGAGAGTGAGATGAGACGAACTGACGCCGCTCCAACTCTCGAGAAAAAAACATGGCTCTAGTATCCGGAATGTTTCTCAAGATTCTCCACTAGCGAGGCCAGACAACTGACGCGGGTGCTTCCGCATCACTTTAGCGGCCGTCGAGCTTTTTTTCCCGCCCTTCGCCTGACGGGAAGGAAAGTTGATGGGGCCATGTTGCATCGCTGGTTAGCAAAGACAGAAAACAATTAGATCTGGCCATCCGAAGAGGTCTCCTCAGCATCAAAAAAAGAGCCAAGCGTCCGAGCTTCGCTACGAGGCTGCCTTGAACGCGGGCGTAAAGCCATGACCGTGGGGATGTCTCAGTTTTCCCACCGTGGGACACACACCGGGCCAGCCGAATCCTCTTTTTCGTGCCCCCTCGCGCGCGCTCTCTCTCCAAAGCCAGCGGCCTGACCTTGAAGTTAGGTGGTGACCTGATTTGATGCATGAATTCTGTAAATGGCTGGGAGAAGGAAGGATCAGTCGTCGGAACTCAGAGGTCTGGTCCCGGCCGAGCCACATCATGCCAATGCTCCCTCGTCTGTCATTGTGAAGATGACGGCGATTATTTTTTTTTTTCGCAAAGCTTATTGGACAAGATTCGTTTTCGGTGGCACGTTTTTGGCAGCGGCTGGAAAGTCGGCGCGACGCCTCTTGGTTGACCGAACTCAAACGAGCGCCCGAGGTGTGATTTCATGCATAAGCCCACCTTGTGTGATGGGTCATAAGCGGGAAGCTATACATCTGTTTGCTTTCAAGTGGCCTCAGAATTAATGTACATGTGGTGGCAGATTTCCGTATATGTTTCTATGACAAATCCATCTGACTTGCGCCCTAGACAAGACTGTCCTTGCCAAAGTGTCACTTGCGGCAGGGATTGTATGATGAAGTCGATGAGCAGGATCCAACATGGACTTGTCACTCACTCATATTGACAACCGGCAAGGCCGTTTATCATTGCTTATCAGTCGGTCAGTGCGTAAAGAGCCTGGATTTGAACCTGGGTTATATCGAATACTTTACATTTTGGTTACCAGTATGACGGAACGGGGCGCGGGGGTGGTGAGACGAGGGGTGTGTGTGTGAAGAAAAAAAGCCTCAATCGAATAGCAACCAAGATTAATTCAGGTGAGTGGTGGTACCGTGCCACAGACTTCTTCCTTGCTGCAGCATGGGCAGGCAGTGAGGATATGCTGGGCTCACAAACAACATCGTTGGGCTGCCAGAGAGCGGGTAGGGATCCCGGCCCTGGCCGCATTGATTGGAAGATTGATACAGCTGATTTGAAAAAAACCATGGACTGTCATGAGGTATTCTGGCGGGCCCTTGTCTGTCACACTGGCCACCTTTTCTTGCCATGCCATCGTGTGGGAGGGCCTGGGTGAGACATTGGCATTCCTAGCGCCAAAGAGGCGTCGGCCTGGTTGGAGTTTGTGGTGCATATCTGACATGAAAGTAACTTTGTATTGTATTTGTGTACTCAACGTTTCGATATCAAAAGAAAGTTGGGATGAACCCCCCAGCATTCGAGACTCGGGAAGAACTAAAAAGGGCCGAATTTAAACGACAATATCATACGATGATACGTGTTGGCTGGAACAAATTCCGGGAATAGCACAATAATGCAGTCGTGTGCTGTCCATGTCCGAGATTCGTGAGCCTGGACTCGCGATGATCACCAACTAACATAAACGAGTGGTGCTCACATGACGTGAAGAATATCTTCTCATGACATCAAAATCACAGGCTGGGGGGCGACAGACGCATGTATGTGACCATGAACTTAGCTGATCTATACCTCCGATACTCTGGAGGCGAGGAGTATTGGATAGCGGAGGAATGTTGATCGATACAGTGAGACAACACTGTGAGGCCACGGGGGAGACTGGGAGGATTCTGGTCTGATTTTGCCATTCTATTCTTCGTTCTTGGCAGCATAAACTAACTATTTCTCTCTCCCCCGACGCGCTGGTAGAGCAACTCCTAACTACGGGTTGCCGTTCCGGCTGCATGCTGAGCTTGGACTCGTCATCCTCCAGCTGGCCTCGGCGATCCCAGCAGTACACCCATGAATATTCAATAGACGAGCTGCAGTAACCCTAGCACTCGCTATGCAAAGCATGCAACTTGTCTTCGATACGAGATTTTTAAGGTGCTGGGGGGGGGGACAACACTACGTGGCCATTTTGCATTGCTCGCATTTGCATGCGGAGAGGGGGCCGCGCCGCCTCAGACTTGTACTTCTTGACATACGGTAAGGAACTGCCGCGGTGTGCTGTAAAAGGCTTTGCTTTGTAGCACTTGGAAAGTCAATCTAGAATAAGCCGGGAACGTTGCGCTTCAGATGAACATTGATTAAGGTTAGGTGGTGTTACAGGCATCTACGACAATGTCTAAGGGACCTTGGGAGCAGCTGCCGGCTTTCTTCTGCGTCGACGAGATCCGATATTTTCATTAAAAAAAAAGATAAACGGCTACGTCAGACTAGCACAAGAACGACCAGTGAC